CAAAGTTTCTGCGCCCGAGAAGGAGGCGGCCGCGGCGGATTCGCCGCCTGGGGGAGCAGAAGCGGGTGGGAGGTGCGGGAGTGGGGGTTGCCTCCCCTCCTGCCAGGTACGCGCGCCCTTGGGTGGCCCCTGGCCCGGCATTTCCCTTGTCCCTTGCCACTTCCCAGTCCGGGAGTGGAGGGGCAGATGCCCTCCACGTTTCCGTTTTCTCTGCGGCCTCTGGGTTACCCGATGCTCCTGTGCGCCTCTCTGGGTGTGTTTTCCATGGCTCCCTTCCTCCCTCGGCGGCCAGGCTGACATCACCGGCAGCATTTTCTGGCTTGGTAGGGTAGTGTGGTAGCTCCTGCCACGATTCTGGAACAAGGCCTTTTCCCCAAAGGCCAGCGTGATCTGGGGAAGGGGTTTTCATTGTCCGGAAGGTGGATGCTGGGAATAACCTTCTGTCACAAGATTTGTGGGGGAGGTGGGACTTCTCCCTAGTAAGGTGACGATTTCTCCTATGAGGTGTGGCAGCGCTTCCTGTTGAACGAGACAGACATTGCCCTGACATTACATAAATCACCCGGTCTCTTTTTGTTCGATTTGAAGAAAAGTAGTTTTCCGTGACTGGGGTAGAAAAAAAAAATTTGTAAAAATAAGTTGCAATTCCAAAATGTATATTGGAACAACATTCCTACTGTGAAAGTTTCTTTGTAAGAGAATAAACTTTAACACTATCAGCTTTCTTTTAGGGCTTATTTTGTAACTGACTTCATTAGGGTGTCCTTCATTAAAGTAAAAATATATATTGGCTTTCCTTGAGTTCTCAAATTCTCCTAGCTGGAGGCACAGGTTCGGTATTACAGGAGACCAAATAATGCAAGAGAGAATTATACCTTGGTGGCCATTGTCACTTCGAATAGACTGTTTATTATAAGCAGTTCCCCGTGTCTTGAGGTAGATGGGGTAAATACCAGGAAATTTGATGGTTACTCCACATAAAAGAGGGACACAATCTCATAATTATCGCAGTTTTGTGTATACTTAATTTTTGCAGTTTTGTGACACCACTGTTGTAGGGTAGTTCCATTTTTTCCCTGGCTTCTGGTAAGATAATTTAACCAAAGACTTTGGTCATTGTAAATGGTAGACTTTAGCAAACACTGCCTAATTTAAATGATTGCAAAGCACTACGTGGAAATGAAGCCGGTTGTGGGTAACTTATTGCTACATACTTGTTTTTTACGCTTGTTTTTCGTAAAATGAATATAAAAGCCTGTTAACCCAACCTAATGCCATTATGTAACGCCAGTTTGGAGATTTTGAGGGCCCGAAGCAGTTCGCAAGATGCGCTAAAAGCCTGTCCATGGACAGGATCCTGAACTGGCTGCGTTGGCCATGGCATTGGGCTGGGTCCGTTGGATGGAAGCAGGACTGCAGTGTCCGTGGCGCAATAGGTGGCGCTCTTCTTTCTCTGCGCTGCAGCCAGTGTCTTGGGGCCTTTTGTCGCTAGAGGCACCCTTCTTCGCATTACGAGCTGATCCTAGTCAGATCTCAGCCGCCTGCAAGTTGTGGGCCAGAGGAGAAAGTCTGGAGCAAGCAGTTGTCACTTCCTTGTCATCCTTTGGCCTTAAAATAACACGTGGCTTCTTGTATTTGAATCAGCCTTCATTCATTGACAGTGCTAATGATTTCAAAGAATTGATTTCTTTTAAGATTGGCTTAAATTAAAAAAAAAAAAAAGATTCTTGCTGTGTTGTCCAGGCTGGTCTGGAACACCTGGGCTCAAGTGACCCTCTTGGCTGGCTGGTACTGCAGACATGCACCACCCTGGCTGGAGATTGAATTTTGAAAGATTATAGCATTAAAAGCCCAATTGGAAAAACTATCAACCAAACTGTGGATTGAATTATAACCCTTTTTTTCTTGTAGGCTGATCAGCTGACTGAAGAGCAGATTGCTGGTAAGTTGACTCTGGGGAGGTCCCAGAAGGGTGGGACTAGGCACTGACTCAGTTTTGGTAACTTCTCTTGTTTCTTCATTCCTACAATCTGAGCAGTTTTCTAAGAATTTATTTAAATAAAAACAGCAAGCAGGACCATTTAGGTCAGGTATTCCTCCTGGCCAGTCTTGTAGCGATAATGTGCACGGAAGTGAACCTAAGAATGTCCACTTGGTAGACTTAGGAGTGTACAGCTTTGCATTTAATGAGATTGCCCTGAGCCTGCTACTCACAAAATGAGTTTACAGTTCTTATGCTGCAGGGCTTTCAGTAATCCACCATGAAAGCTTTAAAAGAACATTATTTTAATTGGGAAGTGAGTTACGAGGTTTTTTTTTGTTTTGTTTTGTTTTAACAGTCTAGCTAAGTTGTCTAGGGGGCTGGGCTCAAACTTTAGATGATTCCCCTGCCTCAGCCTCCTACAGTGCTGGGATTACAGGTGTGTACCACCTTGACTAGGTTTTAGGTTTTTAATATTTCTTGGAAGACTTAGATGGTTTCTCTTTTGGAAACCAGTAATGCTTCTGAAATATTCTGAACATTATTGTAGAAAATGTTGGTTACCTGAGAATGTACATTTCCAGTAACCTTTTTATGCAGCTTTAAAATGCATGGGTCTTACGAAGGTAGAAATTTAGTAGGAAGAGACTTTAAAGGGGCACATGGACCAGCCTACTTAAAAATATGGTGCTTGAAAAAAAAATATTTTTAAGACGGTTTTGTCAAGTCACCAGGTTTCCCAACCTAGGCTCAAATTTATGTTCCATCTGCCTCAGCCTCCTCCAGTGCTGGGATTACAGGCATGGGCCACCACACCCAGCTAAAAATACGATTTTAATAGGACTGGTTACCAGGAGCAGTGTTTGCTTTATGGGCTTCTGTTTGAAGGCCAGACGGACAGGACTGTTGTGGTCTTTATTTCAGTCGATAAAGAACAGGTGGTTTCTGATAACTTCTGGTGCTTGCTTTGGCAAACCCTAGGGAAGTGTGTACTGTGGCTGAGTTGGATAAAAACATTGATACCAAAGAGTGAACTTTTGTTTTTCAGAATTCAAGGAAGCTTTCTCCCTATTTGATAAAGACGGTGATGGCACCATCACAACAAAGGAACTAGGAACTGTCATGAGGTCACTGGGTCAGAACCCAACAGAAGCGGAACTGCAGGATATGATCAATGAAGTGGATGCTGATGGTAAGAGCTTTAGGGCTGTGAATGAGCGCTAGTGTTGTATGACTGGAATTCAGACATGTTACAGGACTGTCTTTTAGGTCCCCAGAGCTAAGCAAATGTGCAGAGTTCTTTTCTGTGGCTGCTTTATGGCCACTGACATTAAAATAGAAGATTACAAGCCTGCCATTCACCTTGCTCACTGTCTAGAATGTTTCCTGGATCAGATCGCTGTATTGTTCTTTGCTTCATGACCTACAGCCCAGTGCTTTTATCAACTGGCCCAAGAGTCTGTCCCAAGTTGTGTGGTGGAAGTAAAATCAACTGCTGTGGAAACTGCTTTTTTAAAAGCTTGCTGTCTCTTAAGAGGAGAAACTTCCAAGTTCAGTGGCTGAAGTTAACATAGGACTGAGTAGAGTGTGAGTTGTTTGCTGAGGAGGAATATAGTCAACTAGGAGGCCCACGCTGACTGGGAAATAGATCTTCAGAACCTAAGAGAAGGAGCAGCTGCATGGAGTGCCAAACTGGAGGGAACCAGCGGTCGCGTTGTAGCGGTTGACTTATCTGTTCCTCTGGATTCTACTGCAGTGAACAACCAAGATTTTATTGTTTATTTCTGTCAGTAAATAGATTTTGAGGCACCTATCCCATGACTGTCTACCTATCTTTCTTCCCTTCTCTCTCTTTCTCTCTCTCTCTCTCTCTCTCTCTCTCTCTCTCTCTCTCTCTCTCTCTCACCATGTCTCTCTCTCTCTCTCTCCCCCTCTCTCTCTCTCTCTCTCTCTCTCTCTCTCTCTCTCTCTCTCTCTCTCTCTCTCTCTCTCTCTCAGACAAGGTCTCTGGTTTTTTATTTGTTTTTTGAGACTGAGTCTCCTTATATAATTCAGGCTGGCCTTGAACTCATGGTAATCCTCCTGCCTCAGCCTCCTAAGTGCATTACAAGTGTACACCACCATCCCTGGCAATCTATGTATTTTTGTTAATTGTATATGCGCACTAATTTAGTACATAAAATGTTAGAACAGTTTGGACCTGGACTCTTTCTAGATGATTAACCTTATAGCAGCCATTTAGAAAAATACGGTAACATAAGTGGTACATTGGAATTCCATTTGTCATAACATTTAGAATCAGGACTTTGGTTAAGCTCTTAGACAAAGCTTCCTGTGTCCGTTAGAATTACTTTTCTAAAACAAAGGATTGTTTTCACCCTTAATATTGTTTTAGAAGAAGCTATCCATGGTTTTGTCTAGTGTGGTTACTGAGGTGGTCAGCCATCTCGGAACAGGGGTGGCTCCCTCCTGTTTTGTTTAAGCTGTGGAAGCTGGGCTTGGGGATGGAATAGGTGAATTTGGCCCTTACATGGTAGGAAGGGAGGTGGTGGTTATATCACGCCACAGAATCTTGAATTTACTGTTGAATGAATATATGATGGCACTTAAGGACATCTTTGCATGGTTGTGAGATAGCAATTCAAATAATTTACTTTTGTCTTTCATGAATATTGGTAGTGCTTTAAAATTCTGGAGGCCAGAGATAAAAGAGTCTCTGAACACCTCCCCACTGCCTTTTGTGGGGCTGGGGATCAAACCCAGGGCCTCTACATGCTAGGCAACTGTGGTACCATTGACCCACATCCCCAGCTCCAGAGTTATTTTATTTTAAAGATACTGGTGAAAATGAATAACACCCTAAGGACTTTTAAAGTTTTAATTTTACTTTCACGTTAACCTTGAAGCTTGCCTTTACGGCGATTCATCTGTTAGTCTAAGAGAAGTTGTTTGGAATACTGGCCATAGAGCAGATTCTTTTGACACTGTTTCCTAAATTTTAATAGTCTGAGCTGTGAAATGCTTCTGAACTTTTCCTTTAATGGGGAAATAAAAGATACTGACTTGGAGTCTATGGACTTAGGTAATTGGGTGAACATATTCTTAGAATGTGAGGGGCTTTCGATTCATTTCTCACCATCATGAAAACCAAAGTAACAACAAAAATGAGTTGGGAAGAAAAAAACTATTAGGTAATTTACAGCTGAAAATGTACCTAGGGAAGATCTTGATCTCTTTTTTGATCTCTGGTTCTGTCTCTCCTGCCATGTGTGTGTGGGGTGGTGGTGGTGTGCTGGGGATTGAACCCAAGGCTGTCCCATACATGAGAAGCAAGTGGTCTGCTGCTGAGCTATATCCCTAGCCCCCAAGAAAGACTTTCTAAGACTATAGCCCATGGCCTAGTAGTTTCTCTAATTTTCATTTATTGTATCATTGGCTAACAGCCAAGGTGGAGTTAGGCCTGAATGATCTCCCCAGCTTGGGAGATCCAAGACAGGCAACAGAGAGTGCTTTCCTTGAGAGTGTAGTGAGCAGCTCTCCCCTTGAACTGTCCAGCCCCTTTGGTGGTTATAATTAAAGGCATGCAGTTTTCTTTGCATCTTTAAATACCATCCTAAGTATTGATTAGTTTGAACCATTGCCTTATATGAAGTATTTGATTATTTGTAATCAAATTCTATAAGATTGACCCTAATAAAATAGTTTGCCACTTTGTCCTAGCAAATGTTTAATATAATTGTTCCAAATTTTCTATTGTAGAGCAGCATTCATTCAGTCTTATGTGAATTTCTTGTTTTTTAATTTGAGGTAATGGCACCATTGACTTCCCAGAATTTTTGACTATGATGGCTAGAAAAATGAAAGATACAGATAGTGAAGAAGAAATCCGTGAGGCATTCCGAGTCTTTGACAAGGTAATCCTGCATCTGTGTTGCAGAGGGTGCATAAACACAGCTCTTTTACCATTGCTTCTAAGAGCTGAACAGTTGATTGGACGTAAAACACATAACCTAACTGTGAGTCTTGGATCTCACTCCCAGATGCCCACTTTGGCAGCCTTATTTAGTGTGAAGAGAGGAATAATAGGAATCTGAACAGTTTCTTGATTGTTACTGTCAGTATCTTAGCTTTTGAAAATCCCCCTGGATTTTCTGCAGTAATGGACCACATGTACCAATTTCTTGATAGAGGTGGGGACTGGAGATAGAATGAATTGCTTGTTTTTATTTTATTTTTTATTTTTTTTTGGTACTGGGGATTGAACTCGGGACCTTATGCCTGCAGGGCAGGCGGCGGCACCACTGAGCCAAATCCTCAGCCCTTAGAATGAATTGTTGATATGAGCAGGTTTAGCAGTAATTTGAGAAGGGGGTATAATTAAGTCAGGACCTACTTGCTCACACTGAACACTGTCCACCAGTACCAGTAACAACTGCTGAATGTTTATAGGATGGAAATGGTTACATCAGTGCAGCAGAGCTACGTCACGTCATGACAAACTTAGGAGAAAAACTAACAGATGAAGAAGTAGATGAAATGATCAGAGAAGCAGATATTGATGGAGATGGACAAGTCAACTATGAAGGTGAAACATTAAATTTCTTTCGCTTAACTGTTAATAGTCTGTCAACAAGTTAACTGTCTGAACATTCCCTGATTCTACTGTATGCAGAGTAAAGTTACTGTGTTCATGAAAGCTGCTTTTGAAGATAACCAAGTTTCAATTGTCTTTTCAGAATTCGTACAGATGATGACTGCAAAATGAAGACCTACTTTCAACTACTTTTTCCCCCCTCTAGAAGAATCAAATTGAATCTTTTACTTACCTCTTGGCAAAAAAAAAAAAGAAAAAAGTTCATTTATTCATTCTGTTTCTATATAGCAAAACTGAATGTCAAAGTACCTTCTGTCCACACACACAAAATCTGCATGTATTGGTTGGTGGTCCTGTCCCCTAAAGATCAAGCTACACAACAGTTTTACAATATAAATACTTGTACTACCTTAATGAGAAGGAAGCACTTAGTGGACTCCTTCCAGTTCCATTTGCTAATGATTAATACACTGTTTGGGCTGGCCAGTTTTTTATGCATGCAGCTTGACGATTGAGCACAGACAAGCATTTGTATTAAAATCAAAAAATGAAAAGTGAATTCAAATCCTGCTCAGATGGGTTCGAGTTCAATTTATTAGTATAAATTGTCACGGTTGGTTTACTGAAAACACAGTTAAAAATTGGTTTACCTCAGGATGATGTACAGAAAATGGGTGAAGGATACACTGCTGAGATGTAGCCCCGGTAGCAGGATGGTCCTCCTGTACTTCCCTGTGCTCCAACCCATGGTGAGTGACAGTGACACACCGTAGTGGTGTGCCCGCATATGTTGGTTTAGCAACTTCTGCGTTGTACTTTGTGATACGGGTGTCAGGCTGTCGCACTCACAAATTTTTAATAAGAAATGTTTTACAAGGGAGCATCTTTGGACTCTGTTTTTAAAACCTTATGAACCATGACTTGGAGCCGGCAGAGTAGGCTGTGGCTGTGGACTTCAGCACAACCATCAACATTGCTGTTCGAGAAATTACAATTTACGTCCATTCCAAGTTGTAAATGCTAGTCTTTTTTTTTTTTTTTTTTTTTCCAATAAAAAGACCATTAATTTAAAATGGTGTTAAATGCTTTGTAAAGCTGAGATCTTAAAAGGGGACAAGGCACTTGGAGGGGAGGCCAGTGTACATTTAAGTGCTCACAGCCCAATGTTGGGCTTCCCTCCCTCCCAAGATCCCAGCACCAACCTCTGAGCCTAAGACCTTGCCTCAAGACAGGCACATAACTGATCGCTTTACCATATTTATTGACAACGTAAGTCTAGTTGCGTTTTCTCTGGGGGGGAGGGGGGAGGCAAATCATGGTAACTTAATGATTTATTGAGGCGGTAGAGCTCTTAAGGAAAAAAAACCACTTTCTGAAGCATGTATTTAGGGGTTCTTCTCAATTGTGCTGCTGATTACCTGTTTTATGTAACTACTTGAGACCATCTGTGCAAGAGACATGATTTAGTGTGTCTGTAATTCAATCCTCGCTGTGTGTGGTAGAAGCAGTAGCCCTTTTCTAAGCCAGTCTCTTCATGCCTAAAAGACACTACCAGTCACCTTTATTCAGAGTTTAATTTATGATTAGCCTCCTTTTACTTTTTTTCTGTTTTTGTTTAAAGTTGACTTGACTTAAACTTTTTTTTTTTCCTCCCCCCTCAAGTAGAACTATTGCTAAGCCTCTGGTTTGAAAGTAAAACTCCAGCCCAGAGTGAATTTCGTGTCTAATTATAAACCTGTAATCAAAACCCAGACGTGCTGCTGGTACTGGTCTTTGCAGTAGGATTGGTCCATTGAAAAAGCCCCCTTACAAGCATCCTGCATTTAGTGCAGGGCTCTTTTGAAATGAAGGCTGGCTGTGCATTTTTTAGGGTGTTAGCTGGTTGTATCTTATTAGCAAGGAGGTTTGAGTTCTGTGTGTTTGTGTGGGTGGTTTTAATTTGCCAGGGGATGGTTGCTCTTGGCAGCCATGTGGGTGCATTCTGGGCTGATTTATGGAGACCCTTGGCTTCTCCTCCCTCTCCTACTCCCTGTCTTTCTGGCATTTTGTAGCTTGTTAGATTTTCCGCCAGAGGGGTGGGTCAGAGCTGTGGAGAGGACACATTGCCACTGCATCTGCTACCAGTCCTTGGACTGCGTGGTTGGTAGAGGAGAGGTTGACCCCAATTCTTTGAATCTGTGAGGAATACCCAAGAATCCCTTAGAGTTTCTCTTCTGGTGAGATAGTACTGTGGTCTCTCTGAATGAGTAAGTCTCTGACCTGGGTGTTTCTCGTAGCGGGTTGCATAGCCCAGTGTTGCCCAGTCTCAGGCCTGGGGTCAGTAACCTCTTAGTTTGCGGGGGCGTTGGGGGCTATTGGCTTTTAAAAGACTTAGCTCCTATCTTACCAAGTCTTTCTGGAAGCTGGTTGGACTCTGTTTTCATAGTCCCGCAGTCTATCCTAAAAGACTACCTTCAGAACAGGATTCTTGTGTGTGGCCAGAATCCTGTGTGGGAACCAGAAACCCTACTCCACAGAGAATGCTGAGTCCCGCCGGGAGCAGAGGTGAGGTGGAGTCGCTGCAGCCTTTCCCCTGGCATCTGGGGCATGGCCAGCCCAGGGTCTGGGCGGTGGCAGTCTGAGTGAGGGAGAGCAAAGAGCTTGGTGTCGTGGCACCCTCCTGTAAACTTGCCCTACTTCTAACTACTCTATAAATATATACATATTTATATATATAAAAGTGACTAGTTTAACTGGCATCCTGCTTTAGCCTGAGACTTGCCATAAGAAACTGCTGAGTACTTGGCAAACCCTTTTGTAGTTTCGATCTCCATCTGTTTGGGGTAGGTGTTGAGCAAGGCAAATAGATCTCGATATTCAGATGGGCTTTTGATGCACTGTTGCCAGGGAAGGCTTTTTCTGATTTTTTGACAAATTTTTGCACACTTTAATTGGTGTCTTTTGGCGATTTAAACACATTGAAGATGAGCTATTGTACATATTTTTATATTCTCTTTATAAATGCATGTCTGATTGTACTTGTAACAATATTGTAATGAATGGCTGTCCAGTAGGCCTTAGTGCTGCTGTCACATGAGAGGAATAGCATATTATTGGCCCCTCAGCATCCTGGGAACTTCTTCCTGAACAAAGAATGTAAATTTGGTCAAGTCTACTCTTCATTCAGTTATTTTAACCATTTGGATTATTTATTGTATATCCTATATATATATATATCCTTTGACTAGATTTCCACTAATGTGTCTTAAATCTATCCCTTCACCTGGCAGTTACTATTTTTTTTTTTTTAATCCCTTGAAGTTGTCCTGTGGGAGACAGAAATTCTTTGCTGTCTATCCTGTGGAGTAAGAAGGTAGTGGCATGGGTAGAGTGTGTGTTCTTTCTCCAGATCTAGTATGATGTCATTAAACACTTCTGTAGCAAAGATGGTGGTGGTTCTTTTGTTACTGAAGTTGCCCTTCACCATAGCTATTTGAAAAGGAGTTGTACTCAAAAGTTTGTAAATCTTTAGATGAACTGTTTGGAGATTTAACCACCTCTGATGGGGGACCAACTCTATGGAAATTGTAAATAAGTTTTATTTATAAACCTGGCACTGTATTCAATAAACATTTCTGCAGCCTTTCATCTCTAACTGCGAATTGTGTAGGTTCTTAGCTTGCATAGCCTTCACTCCCTTGTGCTCTAAACGATACACGTGCCCTCAGATGGAACTCCACCTGGGCTCTGGTACAGCGGGTGAGAGCCAGGGGGCAATAGGCCGTAGGCACGTTTGTGGCCGAGTTATGCTGTTTTAAGGAGTTTGGATGCCAGTAGCTGATATTTTAACCCAATCTTGCTTGCCCATGCTTGCCTTATGTAGAAAACACCACAGATTCATTTCCCTTAGACCTTAACAATCCAAGTCCCTTGGGATTGTTAGGACATAACATCTCTTACATAAGGTGAAGATTGCAAATGAAAGAAGCACCTGGTCCCTGTCAGGAGGCAGCTGAGGAAAGGAGTGGGGTGCAGCTTCCATTGGTGTGGGAAGTGGGGCCTCTGCGCAGCCCCACACCCTGGTTCTGGAAGGGCCTTACCCAGCTGCCTTACTAGTTCTCTCCCAGTCTGCACAGTTAGGTCCTGATTTGGCCAGAAGGCTTGGGTTGCATTTCTGGGGAGCAGTCAGCCCTTCCTGTATGCAGGAGCTAGCACTCCAAGGAGACTGACCTGGGGACAGAGCCCTTTGCTGAGACCTTGGGCCTGGCTTCAAGTTTTGGTCCTGCTCCTCTGAATCCTCAGGCAGATTGCTTACCATCTCTGTTTTCTCCCTGGTCATTTGAGATTGTTAGATTGGTACCTTGTACCTCCAGCTTTCTAGGATTCTGACCGACCTGGTTTGTCATCACTTGATACTTTACATTGATCAAACCTGAAAGCCTAAAATGTGGGAGGTAAAATTGTGTGGGTGTTTTGTGTCCTTTGAGATGACAGATGAGCTTTAGAGTTCTCTGCAGCTCCAGTGTTGGGGTGGACTAGAGATGAAGCTTGGTGTTAAGACTGATGCAATAATTAGAACCTGGGTCAGAAGAACTGATAATTAAGTGACTTCCATCCTCCCAGGATGGAAGCAGGAAGCCACCGACGAGTCTGTAAAGAGATTCAGTCCAAATGACAGCATCATCTGATTTGTCAGTAGCTCTGGTTTAGCGAAAAGCCACATACACTCATTTCCGATTTGAGCTGAACTTTCCTGGGCACAAGGGGGTGTGTGTGTTGGGCGGGGGGTTGTGGAGCACCCAAAGTGACTCAGGATGCCTTAGAAAGAAATAAAACATAAAGCTTTTTATAGCCTGATGCTTCTCCTCTCCCACTCTCCTCTGCCCTCTGCCGTTGAGTAGGAGGGGCCCACTCAACACAGAGCCCCGCACCAAAGCTGACCACCCGCTGGGCCTGGCCACCTTCCCATCTTTGTCATATCCCTGAACCTGGATTTTAAAAAGGTGCAATTGCTCTCCTGAGAATTATGTTCTGACTGTGTCAGCAACCTTGGGAATGAGTGGTAATTGGACACATTTAGATAATATTTTAAATGTCACATCTTTGTTTTTACAAAGACCAAAATGAAAATCTGGAGTCTCCCCTGGTAAGAGCTTCTTGGACGTTTTGTTACAACATAATATTTTCATCCTGAGTACACAGATGCATGTAGAATTTGCTTTTTAAACTGCCCCCCTTGCATCTTAGTATACCCCTTAAATTGTAGGTTTTATTTTTTTTTTAGTTACTGAGTTTTATAATAAAAGCAGACCCCTCCCCCAGACTGCATCAAAATTGAATTGAACTAGATTGTTTTAAGATTTTTAAAAAGGAAAAAAGGGAGTTTAGCCTACTGGTAGAGCATATGCTTAGCATACATGAGATCCCAGGGAAAAAACACAAGGACAATAGATAAAATATTTATAAAATAGTATCTTAAAAGGACAAGGCCATATATTTATTATAGGTCAAACTTGCTCTTATCACATGTAATGGGTTTCTGATGCTTCTCAAATATTTTGGAATGTTTCCAATGATAAGCTTAACTCAGCAGGCAACTTGCTCATTTTTACAAAAGTATTTCCTGATTGTATACAAAACATTTGTCACGTGAAATTTGTGATATAAGATCACCCCCTACCTTGCAAACTATAGTTGTTTTTTCCATTCTTGAGAATTGTTTCTTACCATGAAGATGGCAGAGATAGTTTACAACATTGGGGTCTTCATGTATAGTTAAAAGCCTAATATTCTTGCTTTTTTTTCTTTTTTTAAACCAGGGATCAAACTTGGGACCTTGCACTAGCCAGGCAGGCAGCAGAACCACTGAGCTAAATCCCCAGTTTAAAAGCCTAATATGCTTTGGTGTACAGTTACATATTGTATATTTACATATATACTGTATTCTAATCTTTTTACTTAAAACATGTTTTTCCCTTGGGCTATATAATTCATGCACCATAAAATTTGCCCTCCGAAAGTAGATAGCTCAGTGAGGATCAAACCCATGCTAGACAAGTGTTTCACAGTGAACTATACCCACAGCTAATTTGAGCACATTTTCATCACCCTAAGAAAGCAAGCCTGAGACTAGGGTGTAGTGGGACGTAGGAACATTTCCCAGCCTGCAGAGCCCCCGGTTCAACCCTCAGCACTGCACACACAAACCTGCTCGTTGTGTGGTCACCCCCCACGCCACCCCCAGCCCTCTGGCAAGTCCTCATGTCCATAGATGGGTCTACACTGGAGATATATAAGTAAAGTCTTGTATTTATAATGGTGTATCCTTTCTTACTTTCTATACTGAACATTTCTCCACCTTTCTGAATTCTTTTTTTTTTTTTTTTTTTTTTTTTGGTACCAGGGATCGAACTCAGGACCTTGCGCTTGCAAGGCAGGTGGTGGAACCATTGAGCTAAATCCCTGGCCCCACCTACCTAGATTCTTGGTTATAATTTTTAGGAGCTGGTGTATCCATACACATGATTTAGTTAAGCAGTACCGCAATAAAAGCCATTTGGTTCCTATTCTGAGCAGTTCTGTGAGCCCTTGCCTTTTAGCTTGGAACCTGCTTCCTCTGAGTGCTAACGCATGGGTGCTCAATGGGGCAAATCCCGGATGT